TTTACTTCAGAGCTGAGACTTGAAGCCAGGTTTGGGGTCTCTCAGAGCATGTAGGAGACTAAACTTGAGGTCTCTGGTTTGCTCTCATTGCCCTCCTGCCCTCTGTACCTCCATCCTTTCTATTATACTTGACATTATCCATCACTCTCTCTCTCTGGGAACGCCCCCTCCTCCTGTTTCCATGACAGCACATTCTCCTCTTCTTCCTCCTGCTGCTCCATGGGGCTCTTGAGCCGAGGAAGCAAGGGGGTCCCAGGCCAGATTCCCAGACTCCTCTCTCCTCATTCTGCCCCAGAAGCCTATGCACAGTTTTCTCTGGGTCTCGGGCTCTGACCCTGCACTCTGGCTGTTTTCCAAGCACAGCTACTTCCTGAGTGGCAGACCCTATGTCTACACAGACATTACCTAATTAATCCCCACAGCCATTCTGCAAAGAAAGCCCACTCTATAAGAAGGGAAACTGAGAATCCGAGACAGGAAGCCAATGTCATATTCTAGCATTCATCCAGAGCTCTAGGACATCAAGGCGATATGGGAAACTGCAGGGCATTTTTAAACCAAAGGCACAATCTTCCCTCCCACCTCGTAGAGAGAAAGGAATGGAAATTTCGGGGAGGAAGAGAGACCTGAGATAGTCTAGAATTACGCTGTCAATTTAGAGCTTTAAAAATGCACCGTGCAAAAATGCACAGTACATTCTGAAAGGCAAAGATTTGGAGAACTTGAGGAGGAACAAAAGTTCACGGAAAATTGCCCTTTTCTCCCATTTTGTTAAGTCTTCAAAAGCCTCATCCCAGGAACCCAGCAGCAGCTGGCATGTCCTTCTGCTTCACGTGATGTGAGATGCCCAGTAAATGTGGACCTGGGAATTTTCTCTAGAATTCCTCAGTCCTGAGTTCTGCCATTCCTGACAAGGTCTGTGACTCAGGGAAAAGCAGCTTAACCTCTGAGCTCAGCATTCACATCTGAAATGCAGATACTAGCCAGGCATGGCACATACCTTTAATCCCGGCTCTTGGAAGGCAGAAACAGGTGGATTTCTGTGGATTCAAGGCCAGCCTGATCTACAGAGCAAGTTCCAGGACAGCCAGAGCTACACAAAGAAACTCTGACCCCAAAAAAACAAATATACATACATACATACATACATACATACATACACACACACACATACACATACACATACACATACACATACACATACACATACACATACACATACACATACACATACACATACACATACACATACTAAAAGAAAATGGCAGGTGTGGCACACCTTTAATCCCAGCACTCAGGAGGCAGAGGCAGACTGATCTCTGAGTTCAAGATGAGCCTGGTCTATATAGCAAGTTTCCAGTCAGTCAGAACTACATAGTAAGACATTGCCTCAAAAATAGATAGATAGATAGATAGATAGATAGATAGATAGATAGATAGATAGATCAAGATATTTAGATGATAGACAGACAGACAGACAGACAGACAGACAGACAGACAGACAGACTGCTACTTCAGCCCCAGGGGCTGTTGAGAGGATGAACTAAGGAAATGAGCACAAAGCACTGGAGCACCGAGCCTCATACACCACAGTACTCAGTTAAGCTCCATGTCTCTACTGCTCATAACTTTCGGGTTTGCCATGCACTTGAACATACTCACACTTTTCTACACACTATTTTGCCTTCTGAGTAGCCAACTCCTGTGCATCCTTTAAAACCCCTGAGCCCTTTGCCACCTTTTTTGTTGTTGTTGTTGTTGTTGTTGTTGTTTTGTTTGGTTTGGTTTTTCGAGACAGGGTTTCTCTGTGTAGCCCTGGCTGTCCTGGAACTCACTCTGTAGACCAGGCTGGCCTCGAACTCAGAAATCCACCTGTCTCTGCCTCCCAAGTGCTGGCACTAAAGGCGTGAGCCACCACTGCCCAGCCCTTTGCCACCTCTTATAGAATTGCTGCAAACATGTTTTTAATTAAACAGTACTTCTGGGACATCCTTCCTGGGGCTTTCTGTCACTGTATCTGTCACACTGGCATGCAGTCACCTGTGTATGTATGTTATATGCGTATGTATATGATTTGTGTATATGATCAGCTGAGGCTGATCCCAGGACAGACATCTATCAGTATCAAAAAGGGTTAAAAAAATCTGCCAGATGATGCTGGACATGGTAACGCATGCCCACGGGAGGTGCTGTGGCATGCCAATGTACACACGCAAACAAATAAACAAATAAATAATAATGTCTTTTAAGTGGGCTTGGTGGATAAAGGTCCTTGCCGTCAAACCTGTTGACTTGAGTTCATTCCCCATAAACTCACAAGGCAGAAGGAGAGAACCACCTCTCCCAAACTCCCCCCTGATCTCCACCTGTGCACAGTGGCAGGAACATGCACCATTCAACCCAAAATCAATCAACAGTTAAACAATTTGAAGTCACACCTGTAATACCAACACTCAGGAGGCTCCCAACTGGAAGATCAGGAGTTCAAGGCCAGCCTGGGCTCCATGAGATGCTATCTCAAAAAAAAAAAAAAAAAAAAAGCCAGTTCTCGTTCCTACAGAAAGGGGGCCAGATCAGCTCTAAGACAACTCTGCCCTGAAGGGTAGGGGGCACAAGGCCACAGTCCTAACAAAGGGGACACACAGCCCTAAGTCCCATGTCATCTACTTCAGGAGTCTGCCCTCATTCTCTACCTCCTTAGTAGAGTAGCAGGACTCTCCAGTGACAAGTGTCTAGGGGTGTCTTCGGCATGGTGACCAGCTCACCACCACCACACTCTATAGAAATTTCCATGGTGTCTCCACAGTGTCCATTTCAGTGGTGATGGTCAGCTAAGAGGCTAGGTTCCAGGCTACGGTGGCTGGACAGGCCTGATGTCGGCAGTGACACTGTACCCCAGGGTACAGAGATTCCAAGGTCCTAGGCTTTTAGGGACTTCATACAGAGAAAGGGAATGTGGTTTGTCCATCAAGGGAACCCTTTCTGCTCGCTAGTCTAGCTCCTGCCTCTCTGAAGGCTGGTTAGGTCCCTGCTGGAGTGACAGCCTGCAGCTTTTGTTCCAAAGAAATGGCTGTCAAAAAGAAAAGAGGTATATTGTCTCTCTTGCTTCTTTCTTTTTTGGTTTGAGACAAAGGCGTCAATTTCTTTCCATCTGTCCCAAAAAAGGAAGAGAATTAAATTTGTTTTTACAAGGATGTCAGCAGGCTGCTTCAATAGGGAGTCAGGGGCAGGTTGCTCAGCAGTGGGGGAGGCACCGGGATAGGGCAAACAATGACATCCAGGGGAGCTGGGATCCAGGAGTGCCTGGATCAGTTTCTGTGTCTACCCTCTGCAGTGAGAACAGATGAGGGACCCAGGGGCAATGGGAGAGACCAAAGGGACACACCGACATCGTTGCTATAAAAGCCTTCTTCCCTCAGTGCCTTCAACATAGGGTCCAGTCCCTGAGCATCATGGACCCCAGACATCTGGTGGGCAGCCAGACACTGGGAGAAGGGGGAAGAGGCTTCTTCCAGGTTTTAATCAAGGGTCCAAATATTGGGTGATAATCCTCACTCTCGTTACCACATATGGGCGGCTCAAAGTGTCTCTGTGCTCTAGTGCTGAGCCACATACACTAGTACCCCAGGAACCCCAAAAGCATCCACACTCAGGCCTCAGGATTTAACCTGTAAGCAGAAGCCCTGCCTTACAATTTACTCTCCCAAAACATACTTTTATTGAGACAGGGTTTCATCATGTAGCCCTGGAACTCAATATGTAGACCAGGCTGGACGTAGACCAGGCCAGCCTCTCTGCCTTCCAGGTACTGGGATTAACGACATGACATGCACCACCACTTTTTAAAGACTTACTGTTTTATGTGTCTGAGTGTTTCCCCTGCATGTATGTATGTGTACCATGTTCATGCCTGGTGTCCACAGTTGTTGGAAGGCATTGGATCGACTGGGATTGGGGTTACGAAGGGTTGTGAGCCACCATGTGGGTGCTGGGAACCGAACCTATATCCTCTGCAAGAGAGACAGGTGGCCTCAACCACTGAGCCATCGTTCTGGTTCTGCTTCCACTTCTTGACACAAAGGCTTACTAGGTTTCGGAGCCCTGGAATCTTCTCACTCCTTCCTGAGCCTCAGGGATCCCTTTAGAACTTGCTTCTGGGGCCTCTGCTTCTGCCCACTGTCGCCAGCCCCACAGGGATGCAGGAATGCAGGCGCTATTCAAGTCAGACTCAGAGACATCCATATCAGGTTTTATGGTTTGGGGGTTTGGTTTTGTTATTTGGAAGGTTTTTGGTTGGTTGGTTGTTTTTGTCTTATTGATTCCAGAACCTCACACAAACATCCTACCACTGAGCTACAGTCCAGCCCTCTTTACATTTTATTTTACTTTTTTTGTTGTTGTTTTTCGAGACAGGGTTTCTCTGTGTAGTTCTGGCTGTCCTGGAACTCACTCTGTAGACCAGGCTGGCCTCGAACTCAGAAATCCGCCTGTCTCTGCCTCCCAAATGCTGGGATTAAAGGCGTTCGCCACCACCGCCCGGCTACATTTTATTTTGAGACACTAAGTTGCCCAGGCTGCTGGTCCTTAACTTTCCAGCCTTGGCTTCCAGCGTGACCCATCAAGCAGAGCTTGTATTCTCTCTAGAGAAGTCACATTGGACCCAGCCTCAGCGAATACGGTAGTTAGGTAGTTAGAACGTGGTGAGAACTTTGACTCTTCTCCAAAGTTGACCGTCCCCCCGCACCCCCCCCCCCGGGAAGGGGGCGCTCATCTCCTGACCCAACCCCAAGCTGCCTTGCTCGACTGCCCTGTTCTCTCACCTCCCCAGCCAGACTAAGTCATCGACCCCATCACTGCCTCTCCTGGTTCCTAGACTGGTCATAGACTGGAGCTGGGTGTTCAAAAGGCCAGACCCCATGTTATCCCAAGGCGCAAGCTCTGTCCCATTAGAGAGGACTTACTAATGTTCAGTTTAGGTGTCATTCTCTGCAGTCACCAATTCTGCCCCCCCCCCCGACCCCCACCCCTCCAACCAGGAGCCTTTGATCCCTCAGGTCCCGCCCCCAAGGGAGGCCTCCCCTGTGTGCAGGCCCTATTCTAGCTGTCCCGATGGTATCCAGGGCTTCCCAAGGGAGCTCGGTGTGGCCGCTGGATCACTTCATTTGGGAGGGGCGCTTAAGGGGAGGGCCGGGTAGGTCAGGCGGCAGCGCCACCACCCGGGCCGTCAGAGGGGGTGCAAGCGGTGACACGTTCATGCGTGGTGGCCTGGCGGGGACGGCGGAGGCTGCCGGGTTCTTGACGGCCACAGGGTGCGCGACAGAGCTGGCGGAAGCAGCGCTTGAAGTTCTCGTCCAGGAAGGCGTAGAGAACCGGGTTGAGGCTGCTGTTGGCGTAGCCCAGCGCAATGCACAGGTGCAGCGCGGCCACCACAAGTGGGTCGCGCCGATTGATGTCCACCAGCGTCCAGACGATGACGAAGATGTGGATGGGCGCCCAGCACACCACGAAGGCGCCCACCACCACCAGCACCATGCGAGTGATGCGCCGCAGGCTGCGGTCCTTCTCCTTGGAGCCGGACAGCAGGCGCACACTGCGCAGGCGCAGCAGCATGAGCCCGTAGCACACCGTGATGATGAGAATCGGCACCACGAAGGCGAAGAGGAACACACAGATCTTGGTCACAGTGTCCCAGTACCAGCTGGGGCTAGGGAACTGGAGCATGCATACCACTGCTCCATCTGAGTCCGGGGAAACAAGAAAAGACAGGGGTCAGAGGTCTGTGTGCCTAAGGGGCCCTGTCTGCTTGTCCCCCTTCAAAATGACTAGCTAGGTTGAGGAGATTCTGATGTCTAGTACCTTTACTTGGTGAACTCTTTCTTATGCTTAGAGACCCCAGAATTGGTCCTTATCTGGGGGAGGTCCCCTTCTGTGTTCTCTGCCAGGTTCTTTGTAAGCCTCTATGTCTATGAATGACAGTAATAATTTATCCTGGCCCAGTAACGGCAGTCACTGTGTGTTAACTCAACAGACTCCCTACCCGTTTCCAGAATTGTTCCAGTGGATTGATCAGTACCAAAGATTGATTTAAACAGTGAGTTAGGACTGGTGATATAATTCAGTTGCTGGAGTGTCCCTGGTTCAATCCCCAGCACCATATAAACTTGGGCCTGATGGCACATGTATGTAACCCAAGCATTCAGGTGATGGAGGCAAGGAGGAGCAGAAGTTCAAGGTCATCTTTGACTACATTAACGTCTAGGCTAGCCTGAGCTACATGAGATCCTATCCTAAAGGAAAGGAGGAGGAGGGAGAGGAGGAAGGGGAGGAGGAGGTGGAAGAAGTCTGACTCCAGCCCAAGTGTGTGTGGCCTTGGGCAAATTACTCACTGTCTTCATAATTTCCTTATGATGGGGCTAATAGTCTATCCACATTTCTTTAGTTACATTTAGATTTATTTGCCGTGTGTGTGTGTGTGTGTGTGTGTGCCACACATACATGTGAAGGTTAAAGAATAACACACTGGAGTCTGTGTGGAGGTTAAAAGACAGTTGTCCATTTTCTCTTCCCAACATTCCTGTTCCGGGGATCAAACTCAAGACTGTCAGGCTTGGTGGCAAGCATCTCTGAGCCATCTAGCCAGCCCTACCTGCCCCAAGGACATTTCTTAAGACAGTTGTGAAATACACTCAGATACAGAAGATATTTAGCTCAGTGGAGCTCAAAGGGTTGATGCACTCACAGGAAAGAGGAACAGAGACACATTGGAGCCTAGAGGTCAGGGCTAGGGCCAGGCAGATATCAGCTAATGTAGAGAACAACTTTGTACCAGGTGAGGTACCACACATCTATAATCCCACCACTGAGGTAAGAGGCTCTCAAGTGTAAGGCTAGACAAAATTACACATTGAGACTATATCCAAAAATAAACTAAGAAAACCCAAGTCCTTCCCAACAGCCAACCCTGTAGGAAACGAAGAGGAGCTTCCTGTCCTGGAGAACAGGCTTAGACCAGATGAGCATCTCAGAGGGTACTGTAGGGCTCTGACGCAGGCTGGACACTGGCCCAGAAATGCTCAAGATCTCCAGGAGCCACACAGTAGACTTGCAGCCTAAGTCATGAGAAAGGGGCTGCAGAGCCACAAAGCATCTGGGGTAGTTCAAGTCGGCAGGACCCCTGGGGATGACTGAGGATCAGTGTGAGTATGAGTGGTGGTGCTCAGAGAGCGGGGAGGGAGGAGGGAGGAGGGAGGAGGGGAGAGGGAGGAGGGAGGAGGCCCATTTGGCTGAGCTCCCAGCAGCTAATGACTCCTGAACTCAAGGCTGACGGTGAGCTATGGGGCCCTGCTGCTCAGACAAAACCAATTGCTCAAAGTTTGTATAATGGCCCTGGCGTTCTGCCCTTGAGGGTCAAGGTGTCTAAGATGTCCCCTATCAGTCATCGTCCCCTTTTCTACACAGAGCATCAAGCCTCTACAGACTTCTACCCAGAAGCCAAAAGGAAGGAGAGACCTGAGGGCAGGAGCCTTGAGTCAAAGGCCAAGTTCCATTAAAAGCCTGCCGGTGAGGCTGGAACTAAACCACCTGACTTGACTCTGTTTTCTTTTTTATTTCCGATATGATCTGGATATAGAATACAAAGCGGCCTTGAATTCAAGATCCTTCCGCCCCAGTCTCCTTGGTTACTAATGTATAGGCACCCTTCCACACTTCTTTTTTTTTTTCTTTCTTTTTTTTTTTTTTTTTTGGTTTTTCGAGACAGGGTTTCTCTTACAGCCCAGGCTGTACTGGAACTCACTCTGTAGACCAGGCTAGCCTCGAACTCAGAAATCTACCTGCCTCTGCCTCCCAAGTGCTGGGATTAAAGGCCTGCGCCACCACAGCCCGGTTTTTCTGCTTTTTTTTTTTCTTTTTTTTTTTTTTTTTGGTTCCTTCCACACTTCTTTACATCAAGGTAAAGATGTGTGAACAGTTGACACTAGGAGGGAAAGCAATAACATTGAAAAGTGGTTATTATTTCTCTCAACTTCCCTTCTGTGTTTATGTGCTGGCCAGATGCCAACAGTGGATGATTTGGGGGCACCTCCCCTGTTAGCCTGGTACCCCCAAATTATCCTCCTAACCAATAGACTGTAGTGGAATGAGACATATAAACGTCTATTTTAAGTCCCTGAACTCTAAGGATGTTTGGTGTAACCACTTTACTAATAAAGATGCCCTGGGAAATGTGTCTGCCACGCCCCTCAGGCCATTTTCTGGGCCTCGCTTTGGTCATTTAGCCAATGGTAATTTTTTTCTCCTTATTTTTCTTTTTTTGTTTGTTTTTTTGTTTGTTTTTGTTTTTGTTTTTGAGGCATGGTTTCATGGTTCTTGGCCTCAAACTCATTATCAAACTAAAGCTAGCTTTGAACTTCTGATCCTCTTGCTGGGCTTATAGGCGTGCAATAGCACACCTGATTTATGAAGTGCTGGGGATTGATCCCAGAGCTCCGTGCACGCTGGGTAAGCACTCTACCAACATAATGACATCTTCAGGAAGAGTGGTATGTGCTCTGAACCACTGGACCATCTCTCCAGCCCCTCCAGTGGTTTTCAAGTAGGATAAAGGGGAGTTTGGGATGGGTCTTCAGATCCTGAATCCTCTTCTGCTCACTGGTCAGTGACAACCACATCTTGGCCATTGATCCATCTCCCTGTAATCTACGTTGTCCTGGCCAGCCAGTCCACAACCCTATTATAAATTCCTTTTGGCCAGCAACCTACCAACCCGTCATGGACCCTCATAGCAGTCCGCCATCCACACCCTCCACTGGCTGACTTTCCACCCCACTGGCCAACCCTCGCCTTTCATTGTCCTGTAACCCACACCCCCACTGGCAACCACTCCCACTTGCCCAAATAAATGCTTTGGAAATCCACAGAGGCCCCCAGGTGGCCAGGCCCTCCTGCGGTCAGAGTCCCATGCTGCATGCAGCTCTCTCTCTCACTCACCCCGGGGTTGGGTCACTGCCATGACCATGATGGGGACCCCGACCCCAGAAGCCAAGACCCAGATGCATATGTTGATCAGCTTGGCCTTGGCCGGCGTCCGGAAGTCCAGGGCCTTGACAGGATGGCAGACGGCAATGTAGCGGTCCACGCTCATCATCGTGAGCGTGAAGATGCTGGTGAACATGTTGTAGTAATCGATGGAGAGCACGGCCTTACACAGCAGCTCTCCGAACGGCCACGTTCCCATCAGGTACTTGGCGCTCTGGAAAGGCAGCGTGCTGGTGGCCAGCGCATCGGCCAAGGCCAGATTGAAGATGTAGATGTTGGTGGCAGTCTTCAACTTGGTATACCTTGAAAGGAAGAGCACGGGTAACTACTCACTTCACTGATTTCAGTTTCCATTAAACTGGGGGAGTGAAGGGACTTGCTCAAAGATTTACAAAGGGCAGGATCACCAATGTGGTGTCACATGCCTGCAATCCCAGCACTCAGAAACCTAACCCAGGAAGACTGGGAATTCAGGACCAGCCTGAGCTACATGGGGCCTTTTCTCAAAAGAACAAAACAAAGTAAAAAAGTTGAGATTGGATCCCTGAATCCCCAATCGACCACCACTTCTCCCTGAAAGGGAAGGATCTCTCTGGAGCCTAAAAGCCCAGCACCAGGGAGGCAGAAGTAGGAAGACCAGGAGTTTAAAGCCACCCTTAGCTACATAATAGCTACATAATGACACCTTGTCCAAAAAAAAAAAAAAAGAAAAGAAAAAGAAAAAGAAAAAAGAAAGAAAGAAAAGAGAAAAAAGAAAGAGTCATGGGAACATAACTTATATAGAATGTAGCCCTGACCTCAGTGATTATATGACACTCAGGACAAAGGCAGGGTTACAGTTCAGCTGCCAGAGGGCTTGCCCCACAGAGGTCAGAGAAAACTTGTGGGGGGTCCATTCTCACCAGCCCCAGATGACCATACTTCATCTATACAGAATGAAGTTGAGAGCTAGATTGTTTACCTGGCCTTTAGGGAATATGATTGGTCAGCTCTGAGTGACAGGCTCTGCTGGGACCTTACACTTTCTGAAGTGTCCTCTGTGGCAGTCCAGGGGTTGGGTTCTGGTTGTGTTTGGTTCCATCCAGGCCTCCTAATCCCCACATAACTAGACCCACCTCTCTGTGGAAGCCATGGTTCCTTCCCCTTCCTGTCCCCATGCTGTGAGGAAAGTGAGGCACTTTCACAGTCACACTTAGGGTATGACCCCGAGTATCAGGCTAGGCGTATGCAACCAAACTGCCCCTAACACTCCCAGCATCCTCCATGCCCTGTGCTGCACACAGCCATCCACAATGCAGCTTGCGTGGCTATCACATACAGCTGTGGTCCCTTCTGTACAGAGCCTGGGCTGAGCATGGGGAGGAATGGAGGTGACTGTCCCAGAGCAGGGTCTTCATAAAGACACAGCCACACTAGTAAAGTTCTTTCTCACATCCTGGATTGGTAAGAATATCCAGAGAAAGCCGGGCGGTGGTGGCGCACGCCTTTAATCCCAGCAGTTGGGAGGCAGAGGCAGGCGGATTTCTGAGTTCGAGGCCAGCCTGGTCTACAGAGTGAGTTCCAGGACAGCCCGGGCTATACAGAGAAACCCTGTCTCGAAAAACCAAAAAAAAAAAAAAAAAAAAAAAAAGAATATCCAGAGAAGAGGCCAGTCTGGTCTAAAAAACGAGCTCCATGACAGTCAGGGCTGTTACCCAGAGGAACCCTATCTCAAACAAAGCAAACAAACAAGCCTGATGCTTATGAGGCCGGAGAGTTGGCTGGGAGGTTGAGAGTGCTTGTTATTCTTGCAAAAGGACCTGGGTTCGATTCCCAGTACTTGTATGGAAGTTCACTACTTCCACAGGCACCACAAATCTATATAGCAAACAGATATACATGCAGGCAAAGCCCTCATGCACACAATATAAAATAAATCTAAATAAAAAGCAACCAAATAACCAACCACCAACCAAGGCCAGAGAAGGGCAGGTGGGCAGGAGGAATTCCTGCTGTATCAGGTTATAGCTAAAGTGCTCTGAGGGTGGAGAAAGTGACTTTCTGAAGGCAGAGACTGACTGCCAGATGTGGAAGGGAAAGTGTGCACCCATAATCATAAACCTAGCACTCAGGAAGCTGAGGCGGGTGCATTACAAATTTGAGGCTAGCCCCGGCTTCATATTGAGACCCTGTCTTGGAAAGACAAATCTTTGGGTATGGTGGTGCACAGCTGTAATTCCAGCAGCAGGCAAAGGTGGCAGTAGGAAGATTAAGAGTTCAAGGTCAGCCTAGGCTACATGAGAGCCTCTCACAACAAAACAAAATTTCAAAAGCAGCACTGAAGCGGGGCTGCGGTGGCACACGCCTTTAATCTCAATGCTAGAGAAACAGAGGCAGGTGGATCTCTGAGATCCAGGCCAGCCTGGTCCACAGAGTGAGTTCTAGGACGGCCAGGACTACATGGAGAGCCTGTCTTCTCACCTTGGCTCTGTACCATGGTGTGCTGTTTCTCTGCGCTTCCATTTCCCTATCACTCCCACCAGATGGAGATTAAAAGCCCCAAATCCAGAGACTCAGACTTAGCAGATTTGAGCCTCGGGTACAGTTTACTAGTACAGCACCTAGTTGGATCCCAGCCCAGGAAAAAACCCAACAGATCAAGGGTGGGAGTCAGGAGTCTAGATTCCTCATGAAATTGAAAGGGAAGTCCTTCCTCTTGCTTTCCTTTTTCTTTTCGGGGACGGACAGAAGGTTGTGAGATAATCCTAACTGGCCATCATACTGCCAAAGAGAACGGTGAACTGCTTGCTTTTGAGAAAGGATTCTCTACATAGCCCTGGCTGTCCTAGAACTCACTATGTAGATCAGGCTAACCTCTAACTTACAGAGATCTGCCTACCTTTGCCTCCCAAGCGCTGGGATTAAAGGTGTTCGTGTTTCCATGAAGCCCAGCTGACCAAACTATCTGTTAAAGCTTTTCCTCCAGTGTGGATTAGAGGTTTGGGGTTTTTGTGGTTTGTTTGTTAGAAAAGAAGAGGAAGAAGAGGAGGAGGAGGAGGAGGAGGAGGAGGAGGAGGAGGAGGAGGAGGAAGAAGACTCCCTCATTGTCCTTCAAGACCAGCATCTGTCCCACTCCCTCCCAAAATAACTAGGAGCAAAAGTTTTGCTTGGAGCCAGAACTGCTAGTCTCGGGAAGCGCGTCTTCAGCGGGTGTGGATTGCAGCTGTGTGGGAGGCGGGCTCAAGCTCACAGCTGACTCCTCTAATTTCTCTGCTCTCACACAGAACAATTCGAGGCTGTTCTTCGCCTGCTATTTTGATTTGTGACAGCTCCTTCCATCCCCAGAGGGAGCCAGGCTGATGCTGAGTGGGAGCTGAGGCTTCTGGGGCTGGTCTGTGTTGGGCTGAGGGGCTCTCTTGCCCTCTGTAGTCATACCCTGCCCTGACGGCCTCCTCAGGTCCCCTGCGCTCCAGCTGCAAGACAAACCACACACCCATTCTGCTCTCAACCCCAGGACCTCTCAAAGGACCTTCTATGTTCCCTAAGTTGGCTCTGGCCACCTCTGGGATCCAGGCTCTGCAAACCAATTCTTTGACTAATGTCCTTCACCATACCTGGCCTTCCTGCTATTCCTTAAACACGTGTAGCCCAGCCCTCCTCAGGACTTCTGGACTTACTGCCACCCTCAACTCCCAAATTTCCCGTGACTTGCCACTTCTCTTAACTAGGGCTCTATTCCGACATCATCTCTTCCAAGAGGCCCTCTCTGATCACTCTCTCTCAGGCCGCCTCTGTGTCTCCAAACACAGACCTCTGCCTCGTATTCTCACTGAGGGGATTCACTTTCTCCTAGGACTCTGGCCCCTGTATTAGAGGACTTTGTGACCATCTTGTGGGTTCCCTCCAACATGTGCCACAGTGATAACTTATTCCAGAGTTCATGAGCTCTCGTGGACTTTTTTCTTTCCATAATTTATGTTTTTTTATTCACTTTACATCCCATTCGCAGCCCCTTCCCTCCCTCCTCTCCTCTCAGTCCCACCCTTGCAAATTCCTAACCCCCATTACCCTTCCCCTTCTTTGAGGAGAAGGGAAGCCCCCCCTTGGATTATCACCCCACCCTGGGACATCTAGTCCCAACAGGACTAAGCACCTCCTCTCCCACTGAGGCCCCACCAAGAAGTCCAGGTAGGGGAGGAAGATCCAAAGACAGACAACAGAGTCAGAGATAGCCCCCACTCCAGTTGTTAGGGGACCAACATGACAACCAAGCTATAAATGTGGGGGAAGGACTAGGTCCAGCTCCTGCACGCTCTTTGGTTGGTTGATTTGAATAATTTTTTTTGACAGACAGAATCTAATATATGTACACGGTTGTATATAATGCGGTTTGAATTTTTGATAGCACATTTTGGTCTAGGCTGGGGATGGAATTCGATGTAACAGAGGATGACCTTGAACTCCCGATCTCCTGCCTCCATATCCTGAGTTCTGAGATTGTAGGTGCACACCTCCACTCCTGGCCTCAGTACCCCCCATTTTCATTTGCATATTTGTATGTACATATTGCTAAACTTCATCAGACCTTTAAAACGCTTTTCTATATAGCCACATTATTTATGTGTTCCTTCGTTTTTCTAGTGATCTCCCTTCTAGAGCCTTCCTTCTTCCATTTGCATCTGTGGCAGGATGCTATTTCAGGCCAACTGCACAGCTCTCCTGTGTCCTGGCTTCAGAGTCTCCTTGTGTCTGGGTTTATACCCTCATTTTGGTGGGGCACACCCTGTAGTCATTTCCTGAGAAAAGGCTTGTGGGAGCAAAGTTTTTATCACCTTCGCTGAAAATGTTTTTATTCTAACTTCTGATTCCTTTGACAGTAAATATGATCATGGGTGGAAATAATTTCCCAGCAGAACTTTGAGGACATGGTCCTCTCATTGCTTGCCTGGCAGCACCTAGAGGTACCAGAACCAATTCTGATTCCTGATGCAATCTGCCCCCCTCACCCTAAAGCCCATAGAATTTTTCCTTTATGCTTAGATGACATTTGGTGACAACTCACTCTGGGGTGACTTTTTCACTTGCAGTTTGCCAGCTCGATCCTTCTGTACAGAACAGGCCTCCTGGGCAGCTTCTGGTGTCTTTTATTCCTTACGGATTTTAGCGCAAGGTGTGCTACATACACATGTCTGTGTGGAGACCACAGGTTCATGCTCAGGTGACCTTCTCCATCATTCTCCATCTTTGGGGATTTTGGTTTGGTTTGGTTTTGAGACAGGGTTTCTCACTGAACCCTGAGCTTGCCACTTCAGCTAGACAAGCT